ATATTTGTTCAGTATGATAGATACTGCTTGCCAGCTCGCTATACTCAGCTGTGGGGTTCCAGGGATGCGCGCCACAGTCGCCCTTCAGAGATGCAAACGAGTAATACGTACAGTTTACTGCGAATATTTGTACAAACGAGAAATACTCTAAGTTAACTTGACCAGATCTCAGCACTTTCATGAGGGAACTGTGGGCTCTCCCCAACTTCTCATCAGTCTACAGGGCCTGCAGTACCTACAGTGTTGTGGAATCCCATCACCCCATCGTGTGAGGGAACTTGGATCCCTTCCACGCCTCACAATTGTGTTCTTCATCTGCGTTTCTGTTGTAGTTGGGGGCACAAGACGGAGAGCTGCTGGCCTGGACTAGTGCATCTACTGGCGTGAGTGCGATCAGGTTCCGAGGGCCACACGATCCCTAAGGCCCCGAACTCCCCTTAGACTGGCGTTTCTGAAGGGGAGTTTCTCACAATTTTGGTGGACGGCGAGGGTAATGATTGCTCTACCTGCTGCATGGCATAATAGTACAGCTTTCTTTTGAGTTTATATGTTGACTGCCCAACGAGCTCCGTTGGCGCCTGCGATAGCTAATGGAAGTTAGTGCATTGGTTCATCTCCATCGGAACGAATGTCATATCCCGGATCCTTATCCGGCTAAAAAATAAGGGCAGACCAAGGCTGTGCATATTGATGACGCCTGTCAAACATTGTGAAGATATGCCAGGTTTCTCTGGTGGTCTGGTTGTTGCTTTATGCGTAAGATATTGTGTGTCATTCATAAAGCGATACGCTGCAGACTTTCGTTTGGCGCAGTAGGTCACGTTGCTCGCAATATTGATTGCTGCACTGCAATTTATGGCACCCATCGCTGGGCGAGGAACCTGCGGGCCGAGTGACTTGCGGTGGAAGGTCCTACTGAATCTGACACACAATATCTTACGCATAAAGCAACAACCAGACCACCAGAGAAACCTGGCNTATCATCACAATTTTTGACAGGCATCGAACTATATCCTGTTGAATTGCGATCATGGCGAAGCTGAGGAGGAGTACATCCCTGTTTCTCGGGTAAACGAAAGAAGATGCGCAAGCTAAACCGAAAACCAGCTAGGGCGGTAAATACAAAGGAGGACAAAAAATTTTTCACACTTCCTCAAGTGGCATGTCGCATAGCTATTATATGAATATCACAGAAACAATTCAAGGCAGTAAGTTATTTAATGCGACAACGGGTGCTGCTGTTTTACGCAAAAAAACAATCGCCAAGCTTTGCACGATGGATGAACTGAAAGTCATCCGAGGCCTGCAAGAACTTGGGATTATTGGTAAATTTAACAAGTGCAGTTCTCCTGGTGACAGTGGCTCCCGTCAAGAATGACGGGGCAGGTCGGAAAGGCTACAGGTTTACACTCCCAGTAATTCATCAAGAAGCTGCAGCAACAGGAGAGTCACGTGCACACATAATATCACTGTGCATAGGCTTTTCGTCTTCAATTATTCGCGAAGTACCTCATCTAGGTATCAGACAGACTGGCCCTAATTTGGGGGGATCAGCGATTTGCTGCGTTTGGCATGATAGAGGGTGATGAAAGCTTTTCCCTACTTGCTCAAACCTGATGGCTGCCTGAACTTCACTGGCGCTGAGGGGGTTTTGCCTGCAACAACAAGGCACCCAGCTACTGTTTTTCTGGCTGCATTTCTGCAATATTGGTTTGGTGGGACGCTAGCTCGTCTCGGTTGGTCGGTGACCGTTTATCTCCATATGACTGTCGCCATCAATGTTAGAGGGAAAACGCATTATCAAGGCGAACCGTTTTGGCCATGCTTTTAGATGAAAAGCCGCCAGCTGGGCCGTCGCGGTGGGGGGCCCTATTCTTCTCGGTCTGAATTCTGCAAAGACAAGTGAACGGTACATTTGGATGGCATATATTAGTAAAAGCACCTTTTCAGAAGCTCTCTGCTTTCGTGCTTTCGAGTAGCGTCGATATTAAAGCATCGTTGTCATTACCTGGGTAACGTGCTGGGGCGACTATCTCGCTCCCGTCCACATCTGGAGAGTCACTTTCGAACTCATCCTGTTTTTTGGGGAACTTCTCAGCCATCCGCTGACGGAGTGCGGTTAAATTTAGCCCTGCAGCTCGCAGAAAGCTCCTCCTTCGTTCCATGCTCTTGTTTCCAAGTGGAGTCCAAAAGCCGGCTGCATCCTGAGAACATAACACAGCACAGGGATGGAGCTACATTATTTCAGCACATATGAAGGCAGCGCGTCTCCTAAAGTGGTGCGCTGAGCGGCAAACACAACTGCCTGCCTCTTTTATGCTACTGACGGAAGTGAGTTGTCCGAGCCGCCGAAGGTCCAGAGACCAAGCCTTAACAACTCTGTCGGCGCCAACGGTGAGGATCCACCGAAGGTGCCCCTCAGCCTCAGAGGTGGAACCGTCTTCTGCAGGTGTGGCATTCGCCGACACTCCAGCCTCACAAAGATCGAGCGCCAAAACTGCATCGTCGTGCCCGGAACTTTCGCGCACTAGAGTAACCTCTGCGCAAAATTGCCTCATGGCATTGACGAATTGACTGCAGCACCACTAGTGAACGTCCCAGTAATGATGACGAATAAAACTCCACCACCATTGCAATAAGAGCCATAGGGAAGCACAATTAAACGAGGAGACAAAACAGGCGGGTTCATTAGTGCCCTTACCCAAAAATCGCTTTTTCGGCCTTGCCACTGAGCGCACACATGTACACAGCCACATGTACTGTCGTTGTATGCTTTCCTAGCATTGCATATTGATAGTTCTGCAGGGCGCCGACAGAAGTCGACAGGTACGCACGAGTGCAGAAGCTACCAGCGATTTGCCTTTCATACCCTTCGTCCCATCCCTCCTCTTGCGAAGCGCAGAGCTCTCGTGCTGCTCTTCCTCGGTCTGGCCGGTCCACTCAGATGCAGGTTGCGTAAGGAAGGTTCGCCGCCGAGGTGCCATTACTCCCCGCCGGAACCTGCTAAGCAACGAAAGGCATTCTCTCCAGTTGCAAAATGCATGTCGGCTGCTCAGCCATAAGGCCAAAACAGAAGGCCTTGCTGCCCAATAATTATAACGCTGATTGAGGACAGGGAAAGGATGAAATGTGTGTCGGCACAGTTCTCTGAGTTCGCCCAGGATACTAGCTCTTACTTGCCGGAGATAGTAGCTCTGGCTTGGCGAGGACTCACGTCATCTTCGCTATCAACTGCTGGCCTGAGACCTTCATGAGTTTTAGTAGAAGACTGGGGCTTAGCGGATTCCAGCAAAGACCGTTCCTGGACCTTACCAAGGTCCCATAGCCGAATATTTCCCTGTAAAGCGGTCAAACCAGAATACTAGCAGGGAACGTCGGCGCAAGAGTAATAATTGCCGCGAAACCCGCCACGTGACAGTCTTATTGTAGCGAAATAGCACAAATCCCTTGCATCTCTGCTCAGTTTTATGGTGTATTCCGGGCCCGCGAAACCCGATGAGTTCTGTTAGCTCACGCGTTCGTCAGCGCAGTAGACCTGCAAGCTGCTGGTAAAAAACCTGTTTACCTTGACCGCTCTTACGCTCGCCGGTACAATGAGTTCGTGAGCATTGTTTGGTGAACTGAACAGTCTACGCTTATAAGTAAACCTCATTGTTTGACTGTTGCTTGCATGCTGTTGGCCTTCTTGCATTTGATTCATCAGCTCCTCTGCAGTGACTCCTTCACACATCAAATTTTCGAGCTGCGATATGTCTTCCCAGCAGTAGAAGAAGCACCATGAGTGTCGCTGTTCGGAGTTATGAAGGCGCCAGACCGAAATAACACCCGCTGCGGATCCAGCAAAAGATGTCACCTCAACTGAGCGCCAGCATTTTCAAAATATTACCTGCTGCATAACTTGGAAGTCTATGAAACCAGTACATATATATANATATATATATATATATATATATATATATATATATATATATATATATATATATATATATATATATATGCTTCGCATATATATTTTTCCATTCCTGCTCGCAGGGATACTCATATATATACCTATGCATGCAGGCAGTGGCTTTTGCGGCAGCATGGACTAGGTGTCTACAGTGAAGTGGCAGGTCTGCCTGTAAAGCTCTCAGTCAATCGTTTCACTCGGTAGATAGTAGCGTGTGTACGGAAGGGTGGACAGAGTGATTTCTGCAGCACATTCGAGCTCCGGTATTCACTGACATTCCTCGCCGGCCACTAAAAATTCCCCTGAAGGAGAGATATCGATGGCTTGCACAGGCGACCTGCGAAATACACTCAGAAGAGGCATGCTGGAAAGCAGCTTAAGTTTCTCGGGACTACAGATATTTCCCCTTCAAGATGCGTGCATGCCTGTGGAACAAAAGATGGACTGGCGCCGGATACACCGTTGAGTTTCCTTTCCATGGTTCTGAATTGGTTCATCCTTCTTGTGAACATATCAAATGAAGCGCTAAACGCCAGAAACATAATAGTGTTCATGCTCTGTGGATGTCATACGAGAAAGTCTCCAGTGAGCTCTCTTTTCGCAATCGGCGGAGGCAGAATATGTGCACAGCCTTGCTGCTTCCACAGGCAAGCAATCTGGACTCTTCGCAGATTGCCATGCATGCAACTCCCTCTTTGCCAATTGTAGCTTGAAATATTACTTGAGTTTTCTGTGGTCTGTCAGCATTTTCAGAAAAGAACAACAGAACAATATTGAATCCACCTTCGCGGAGTCATGAAGGCCACACGATTGGACTGAATATTCAACAAGTATGTGATGGATGCAAGGCCTAGTCCCTTTAAACTATGGTTGCTAACACCACCATGTGCTGATAGCTATGCGACTTGCGGCGTCCCAACTTCTTCGTGAACAAGCACTAGTCCATCTGAAGACGCAGAGACGAAACACTTTGTTCCTGGCCAAGGGCATATTTGGGTAACCTCAGTTGAGTGCGGCTGGCCTCTGGAAAGCTCTGCTCCAGTGGAGGCATTGAAACATGATATTCCGCCAGAGCAATCTCCAAGATAGAGCTTCCGTTTTCTTGAATCTAGGCTAGCTGCCGTCACTTCAGGACCTTCGACATCATGGAGAACCTATGGCGCACGTCGTTGATGAACGTGTGCTCCCGCGAAAATTATATAGCTCAGCTGGGACAAACCAGGCGATCTGGGACGTCAGGGGAGTGCAGTTGCAAAATACAGCATCGCCATGAAACTCACCCGCAAAACCTGCCCTTGTGCAGCATCCCAGGAAAGAACTGCCTTTTTGCTGACTGTCAGAATGCTGTTATACTGAGAATTATGGATTGCAGCTGTTAGCTCGCCAGGCATGGTGCAGCACTTTTCAGCGAAGGACATTTGCTGGGAAGTATAGACGTCAAGCGTAGACCCCCCCGTTACAATCCTTGGAAGCAAACATCAAAAAAGTGACTGAATTTTGTCCATGCACAATTTCTAGCACATGCTGTACCTACCCACCAGTTTTACTATTCAGCACTTAGCTTACTGATTGTAAGGAGGAAGAGCGCAAATTGAGCTAAGATCCCCATAACACGTCGCTCCTGAAGCAAGGTAGTACACCAGTTTCACCTGACATATGATGCTGTGCATTGTTTGGCTTCTTACCCCACGTGGGAAGCATGCAACGGTGAGGGTAATTGTATTCCACAAATATAGGGTTCCAAACACCCAAGCACTGCTTGGCAAAACCTACTTCCGCCGAATGTTTGAAATGATCGGAAGTTGCGTAGATCCCACAGACGAAGGGTTCCTGAAACATCCGCTGTCACAACTTGTGGGGTCCCAGGAACGACGATTACTCCGCATAGAGAGTAGGGATGGCCTCTTAGGTGGCATATAGGTTTTTTCAAGTTGCAAGGACTCCATACTAGGGCATCCTGAAGACGCGTATTAACGCGGAACAGAAGCTAGGGGCAAAGCTAGCGAATATTACCTTCAGGGTTTCGCCAGGTCCAGAGATGGAACTCAAATAAGGGGACATTGAGGCTTTTGTTTTTTATGCTCACCTGGTCCAGGCCAGCGCTAATCAAACAGTTGTATTCTTTTGAGTGGGCTATACTTGTGACGCTTCGGCTGTGCCCTTTAAGCACATGTTTGCATTCAAGCATTTGGACATCCCATATTTTCAGTGTCGTGTCTGCCGATGCAGATATGAATACTCCTTCATCTGCGCATGACAGCATCGACGCCGCACACCTAGCAGGCGCAGAACTGATCAAGGAATAGTTGTACGGCAGTGAAGAGATTTTGCCTTCGCATCGTCATGCCTGCTTGTTCTCCGTGCCGTTGAGCACGCATATCGCCATTGCGCAACCCTTTACCAGGAGTATGAAGAAGCTGTGTCACAAAATCGTTGTGGGCCTTTTTGCTACATATTTCGGAAAACGTCACCAAATCCCAAAGTTGGACTGTCCCGTCCACGCATCCGCTGAAAACACAACGTTTTAAAATTAGCAAGCCAGTAGTTTTTGACTCTTTGGCAACATTAAACTCTGTCGTCAGCTTTTATTTAGTTGTGTTCCAGTCGTACAACGCCTACGCTGCACTGCGGATGCAGCCTATTCAGAACAACGTCGAACTCTCTGTATCAGCAGAAAGGTGCCTGACCTGAGAAGTTTGTTGGGACCAGACATCCATTCAAGACAGCTGGGTGGCTGATGCTTGTAGGACAGCTTTTCAGTGAGCATAAGTCCATTTGTAGTCATCATGTGAATACTACCGTCGTACCCTACAAGAGTGAAAACACCTTGGGCAGCAGCCTGACCAGGACCCTTGTTCCCGTGAATAACTAGAGCAAGTGCAACGACTCCACGGGAATTTTCGGGTGAAATATGTTTTGGGCAGTCTGAGCCGAGTACCTACCAGCCAGAGCAATCTTCCCGTATGTGTCTACATAGCACATGTCCACTATGGAACCTGCCCAAAATCACAGATAAACTTTGTGCGTTCCTGTCAAAAATGGTATCTCGGCATATTCACAAGCAGCCGATGTTGAATTCAAGTTCGTCTGTAGGTGTGAAAAAAGTGCGCATTCACTCGAGTTACCTGATACGGAATTAACTTGACAAACGACTTCCTTCTGCACGCAGCTAGCAGAATTCAGTTGAATTGAATGGATTGTGCAAAAGTGCCCCACGTGCTGGAGGCGGCGGTTATAACAAGTGGAACAGCGCTCGGTCTGAAGCTAATTCGGCCATCTCGCTTAGCTCACTGAGCTTGGGTTTAAAATGTGTAGGAATTTGGACGATTGGTAGATGCAGTATAGCCTGTCAACAGGCTCGACGAACATTAACCTGCGGTAAAATTGCAAACGAATCTATCATCGGGGTCGGTGAGAAAATTTCCACACAGCGTTTCCCCTATCCAGCTGGCATGAAGTTAGCCTTCTGCGGATACTCCAACTTTGTAATTGTACTTCTCTCTCGCAGGTGAACAAACAATCTCGGGGCGACTGATGTGTTTGTTGGAGACAAACTTGCCTTTTTATATGGTCCTGAGTGTTATTCACTATCCTTGGTGCAGTGCACGTGTACTGAATTGTTGTAAAAGGCAGAAAAACATGAACTGCGAGGAAATGGAACGGTGGAGGGAACAAGCGTCGCTTGTTAGCCTGTTTTCTGAGTGGAAATCCTTTAGAGAGCGAACACTACTGGGAAAACAAATCTAACGTCAAAACAGTTCGGGATAGTTGCTGGCAGTGGCAAAAGGGTACTGATAGCAGACAATTATGGCTGGTCTAGTACAAAGGACACAGCTAATGCGGCCAACGCCCTGCCGGTAAGCATTGGCCATTCGAGGGACCGTACTGGATGTAGCGCCTCGCTGCCACCAAAGCTACGAGCACATTGCACACTCATGAAATGTTGCGCCGTCGCTCAAGGGATGCTGCAGTTCTTGACCAGGAAGGCTTTTCACTAGCTAGTGCAGCACTTTAGAGCCTTAACAGGTGTTAAACTAAAACTTTTTCCGCTGAGGCCCTTGCAGAGTGTGTCAGTGGTTCAGAACCTGCCTGAGGCGAGGGTCCTCTCCAAGTAGCTTGTGATGGACTGCATTCGAACATTCACATAGGACTGTTACTGCCCCTTGGGAAAATGGGGCTTGCGCCATATGCTGCTTTAAGGCCATCAGTTAGTGCTGGTCTGCCTCCGTGAGAATTTTACAGTCTCTGTGGGGTTCCTTTAATGCCAATTGTAAGCAGCCAGGAACACGCATTTCGCCTAACCTCCCATCGAATAAAACCCTCGTCGTTCACGTCGACAGCCTCAAAAGCTTCTGCCATAAGGGCAGCCCTGCTTAAGATTGCTGCGAGGATAGAAACACGCAGGAAGTTTGTATTCGTATAAAAAGTCAATATTGGGCCTGTTCGTTCCTGCTCCTTACAATTCTACATTACAAGATTGCTTGACCAGCATACCTTGGTCAGCAAACTCGTCGGCAGAAGGATCAACTGAGTCGTGTTTTTCGTCTACGACGTCTGATCCAACAGACGAGTGGGAGGCACTTGCTACATTTTTTTGAAAAAGCGCTGACTCGGCCTCAACAGGTTGTTGCAAGGGCTGAAAATGCCGCATCGGAATGCTACCGAAAATATTTTAGCAGTGGGAGGTATCGTATTCAAGCTAAGTGCAGCGGTTTTTATATCGCTGCCATTAAGCCTGAAGGTGCCTTGACCAGAGCATCAGTAGACCATAGGAGGCAAGCTTCGTGCAGAGTGCAAGTATTATCAAGCTCACTGTTGGGGTTCCCATACCATCTTGTGGTCTCCAGGGCGCTAGTTGGAACATCAGTTCCGCAAACTAATGAACAGTCCAGTTCGCAGGCAGCAGCTGGCGATTGAAGACAAGCAATAGTGCCGTTGGATACCGGGTCGGCACAAGGTCTACACCTGCTGCAGGGACTGATATTGCGAATAGCGCTGCTCGTTATAGCCAAACGCAGGTATGCAGATATATTTTCTGGAACACTCAAGCCCCGGATATGAGGTGTATCAGACTAATTGAGCGCACCTCACCTCTTGTAAGTCTAAACGCCCCCCATGGCGAGCAAATTCGGCCTTCATTAAGTTGAGCTGCTCGGCATTTGTGCCATCAAGCAAGCGGCTAACAGAGCACGAGCAAGTTTTGGAGTTTTGGCTTTGCTGCTGATCAATCTTTTCTTCGGCCTCCATGGCGGTAGGCATATTGCCTACGTGAGCCTGCATAGGGTGCAGCGAGGCAAAGACGAGCCTTCACGTCTGTAAGCTGTTTATCACTTCTAGCTTCAACTGGGACAGAAGTTACCACGTTAATCCTAATGCTGCACGCTTGTCGGTACCAAGACACTGGTGGAGG